ATATATATATATTGCAGTGGACAAAGTTGAAGCATTAAGACGTTATAAGTTTAGCCTGGCTTTTGAGAACTCCAATGAGGAGGATTATGTTACTGAAAAGTTTTTCCAGTCCCTTGTTGCAGGTATGTATACAATAATTCTCTAATACTGTCTTTTTAATTGGTATTGATTCAGGATTATTGATTAATGTGGAATCTTTGCTAAATATTGGAAGGGTAGTTTCTGGTGGAATTGTACAATATTTCATAACTGGATTTGGGAAAGTAAAATCATCGTTGGAAAGACATTTGTGTTCTATTTTGAATGAAAACTGTTATGTGCCATGCGGATAACAGCTATCACTTGTGATTTTTAGACGATGCCTTTTATTGGAACTTCTTATACTACTGTTCTTTGTGAATAAATTCCCTTGCTCCTGCCCGTACCTAAGAAAACAAGTTGATAATTTGTATAGGGTTTTATATTTGTTTAAATGTTTGAATGATTTATTTTGTTAATAGAAATTTATCTAAAACTTTGTAGGATCCATACCAGTTGTTGTTGGTGCCCCAAACATTGAAGATTTTGCTCCTTACCCTGGATCAATTTTACATATTAGGGAATTGGCAGATGTTCCATCAGTTGTGAAGAGAATGAAGTACCTGGCTGAAAATCCTGATGCATACAATCAATCTTTAAGGTGCAGTTAGCCTTTGCAATTGAATATGCTAATTTATTAATCATGTACTCTCAACATTTATGGAGTAATTTTTTTTTTTTTTCTAATTTCAAAGGCACATAATTCAGAATTATGCTTTTACTAGTTGGCCTGTTCATCAGGGATGTTGCTAACAAAGAAGTCCATTGATCAGGTGGAAGTATGAGGGGCCATCTGATTCTTTTAAAGCCCTGGTGGATATGTCAGCTGTGCACTCGTCGTGCCGGCTTTGCATTTTCCTGGCAACCATGGCCCAGGAGAAAGAAGAAAATAGACCTGATTTCAAAAAACGCCCCTGCAAGTGCACTAGTGGCCTGGAAACTGTGTATCATATATATGTAAGAGAAAGAGGGAGGTTTAAGATGGATTCTGTCTTTTTAAGGTATCCTCTTCTTACACCAGTTGCTATCAGTGATGTTTGTCGGCAATGAAAGGATAAATAAATAGATGTCTTTCCTGTCTCGCTCAATTAGTTTCAATCATAGAAATGTAACTAGAGTCCATTGTTTTCCTGGTCCACTAGCACTTTTTTCTGGTGGACTGTAATCTTCTGATAGTAAAATTCAGAAAAGGATATTAATTCATGTCCTTTCCCATCTCACTCACTCATTTTCACTCGTAGACAACTAGAGGCTATTGTTGGCTTGATCCTCTGTGTAGCTGTAAATCATTTCCCAATAGAAAACCAGTTCCCCCTGTATGCGTGCATTCAAAGCACTTGGAATGTGGTTCTAAATAACTCTTTATATGCCATTCAGAGTCCAAACTTTTGTTTACCATTCTCTTTTTTTCTTTTTCATTTTTTTTTTCCTTTTTTATCTAGAGAATAATTCTTATTTCTGACTTTACTGGACAGGTCTGGGAGTTTGACTCTGGAGGCCTTAGAGTCTGCAGTGTTGGCTAAATACGAGTCTCTGAAACATGTGCCTGTTTGGAAGGAGGAAAGGCCTGAAAGCATCAGAGGTAGGGATGAACTTAAGATATACAGAATATATCCTGTTGGCTTGACCCAAAGACAAGCATTGTATACCTTCAAATTCAAAGGGGACGCTCATTTTAGGAATCACATTGAAAGCAAGCCATGTGCAAAGTTTGAGGTCATATTTGTCTAGATATAAGATACCAGTCTCTCGACTTTTAGCAAGGTGCAGTGCCGTTTCAGCATCTTCTTCTGAACTATTTGCAGAGAGATTGAGTTGTTTTGAAATGGGTTAGTTGGTTCTGTTAGATCCTCATTATTATACAATGATTTTCCACTAATGATGAACTGCTAGATATTAGGGAAGAAGCTGCTTCAAATACAGACGACATGATGGGTGACTTCTGTAAGCCCACCAAGCATCTAGTACTGGCTCGCTGACACATTGTATATATTTGCTTGTTCATGAAAGGTTTACTATGTGTTGTGCCTCATCCTTTAGACAAGATAAGTGATCTGAGAATTATTAAGAAATAAAGAAGATAAGACAGACCTTCAGAATTATTTAAACTCAGGTTAGGGAAAGAGGAATTAAAAAACACTTGTTCACGGGGCTTAATTAAGCCCTTGAAACCCCAGGCCCCATTATGTATAAGACCAATTCTATTTTTCATCTGTGTATTTTGTATTCAAAAAAAGGTGTTGTGCAATTTGGGTTGTGTAACAAAAACACTAGATGGAGGGCAAGTCTCTTAATAGAGGAATATCTCCCATTCACTAATTTTTATTTTGTAATAATATAATTAATTTACTGGAGGCGCAGTACAGTTTTGTAAATCATCTGTTTGATTCAACTTTAAAAGGACCTTCTTCTATGATGCAAAAGACTGAAGTTGGGCCAACTACAATTTTCTAAAAATGGATTTTTGAGGTAACAAAATGTTTCTGTTTTTTCCAAGGACCAGGTGGCTGCAGATCCAACTATTTTCAATGTAGATATTTTAGCTATTAAGTTGCTGAATTTGATAATTTTTGTTGATCTCTAAAATTCTTATGAAAAACTTCATACGAATCATGATTCAACACTTCTACTAATTTATTCAAACAGAACTTCTATACCAAAGCCAAAGGTAGGTCAAACAAGTGTTTATTATATGAAATTAGTGTGGAATTAGATTAGATATGGAGATTATTTGGTATAATAATTTAAAATTAATAATTAATAGTTTTTTTTAATATAATGAGTTAGAGTGTTTAAATTAATAATAATAAAAATCATCAATTGTCAAATTAAATAAAATTATTAATTATTAATTTTAAATTGTTATAACAAACAGACCTATATAATTAGACGAGTGTCCCATGTTAGTTAATCCAGTCTCAAGCACATGATCCCCGAGAAGCTTCTGTTGATTGTTCTCATGGATTGCCAGGCCTTGAGAATCTCCAAAGAATGATTCTTTTCTGGGGGACCCTTTTTTTTTTTTTTCCCTATATTTATACTTTCTAGGCGAAACAACTTTTTATTTTTATTTTTTGTTTTTTAATGAAAGGGACAATATGCAGCTCCTGTAGCCATAAATAGTCATGGTTTAAAACGTCAAACATGGTGCAGGGGATGGTAAGACCACATGTTTTGAATGAGTAAAAAGTTGAGGTGGAGAGTGGAGGCAGTGACTCTTGGCTGCTTGAGAAGGTCATTTTTCCATTTCTTGTCTGGTTCAGGTTCATTCAAACCTAAACTTGTTTTACACTTTCCTTGTCGGCCTCGCCTCTCCCTTTGATCAATTGAATGAGCCAAACGATCACCTAGGGGACGTTCC